TAAAAAACCAAAACCGTCAATTGAAGGTTTCTATATAAGATATTATAGCGAATGCATCACCGCGAATGCATTACCGTGAATGCATTACCGTGAATGCATTACCGCGAATGCATTACCGCGAATGCATTATCGCGAATGTATTATAGCGAACGCATTACCGCGAATGCATTATAGCGAGTATAATATAGCGAAAATATTATAGCGAATGCATTATCGCGAATGTATTAGCTAGCGCGAATGCATTATCGCAAATGTATTATCGCGAATTCATTGTCGCGAATTCATTATCTAAAATGAAACAATTTTATATTTATCGGCCTTTAGACAGACTTAGTTGAACCTGGAAATTAAGTTAAAGTCGGGCTTGGGTCTAAAAATATTTTTTTTTTAAATCGGGTTAAGACTTTTGATTTTTTTGACTTAAAAAAATATAAAAAAGATTCTAAGCAATAAAATAGACTTCTCTAAAGATTAGGGAAAAGGAATTAAATTTTTATATTAATTTATTGTTTAAATATGCGTTTAGTTATATTTTTCAATTAAATTTGGGACAGGACAGGCTCAGGCCTTAAATTTAAAATTATGGCTAGGCTCCTAAAAATAAAGATTTTGGATGGAGCTTTGGCCGAAATAAATAAAATTTGCAAGGCACTAAGAAAAAAAGTCTTATTTAAAACATTGAGCCAAACAGATAATTAGACCTTGGATTAATATTATTCTTTGACAAATGCTTTAATTAGTGAGGGATTTAGTATGGACTTGATAAGCATTTTTTGATAATAAATTTGTATTAAGTTCTCTTATTGCTTAATCAAAATGACAAGGTCAAAGCATATCACAACAAGACATGAAACAATATTCAGCATCATAGGTAGATTGTCGAATTGAATTTCTATCCATCTCAGTACTTAATTCGTGTAATCTCTGATGATGAAATTGCCACTATTGTGACTCAGGAATTGGGAAAAAAATAGATTATTTATTTCCTTAATTGATTCTTGCTAAGTTTTTGCTTCCTGACGAGTCTTTTTTCTAATTATGTGATCAAAAACAAAATTGTATAAAAATGGATATAGAAATATAAAAAATATAAGTAAAGCTAAAATTGAATGAATTGAACATGCCTCATATATTATTAAAAATAAATTAGTTATTTTTAACACAAATTACAGTATATTTCCATTTCAGTTCAGTTGCTATATTTTATTAATCTGATGAATGTCATAAATTTTATAAATGTGGCGATAATAGTGATTGGACATTACTATCATCGCTGAAGATGAGAAAATTTAATGGAATAAAAAATTTACTTTGTGAGTTGTACTTCAAGGAGTAGATACAACCCTAAAAAATCGAAAGGTGGAAAATATCTCTTTTTTACATTTTCTTGCCTTTATATTTTTTTAAATGTGTATTCTTCAAGACTAAAAGAGGTTTAGAAAGATTTAAAATAAAAGTTTTAAAAGCAAGCATTTATGGATATTAAAATTAATTCAACAAGCTGAAGCGATCATTTATGATTCCTCTTTTTACAGTAGAAAGCAAGGCCCTATAAAAAATATATAAGAAAAGTAAGATATCTGTCTCAGGAAGCGTAGATAATGAAAATCCTTATGTTAAGCTGGAAAATAAAAATATTGCTTTAATCATGAAATTTTTTTTATTAAGAAACACCCCCCCCCCCAACAGAAAAGTTTGAATAAATAATTAGCCCTAATGATACGAAGTTAAATATTAATGATAATTTATAACCAGATATATAGACCGACTACCAATAATAAAAACGCTTAACCATTCAAGCAATGTTAAAGGACCTTTTACCACAGGAGAAGGGGTTATAGCTCAAGATTGGCATTGAAATTAAAATGGGTAGTTTGTATTTGGTCCGTTGTTCTAATTTTGATGTGGTATAGGAAATGAGTGGAGTGGGGGAAGAAGGTGGTAGTATTATTATATATGATGCAAAATCTTTTGATAATTAGGTATTTAAAATATTTTCTAAGTGTAAAAGAGTTAGTAAAATATTGTGCAATCTGCTGCAAATATCAAGCTTCGATATTTTCTAAAGAAAGACATTACAATGCGATGGAAATCAGTGTATATCATGATACAAAACTTCTTATAATCATATGATGAAATTCAAGTTTGTCTGTGAACCAACCATATTTAAACAAACTGGTATCAATAAATATAATCCCTATATGTAAATAAAAAATTTCTTATAAATATTAAAAGTCTGATCTTCGGAATGTTTAACAAGTGCAAAAAACCTATAAAAACATTTTAAAATCTTGATTCATCTTTCTCTACATTGCTAAGGATTTAGGCTTGTAATAAGAAATTTTCATTTTACTAAAATCAATTTAGAGAAAAAAGTGTATTATTTTAAATTTTATCGGTGTATAATTTTTAGGTAAAGGTTTGAACTATCATCTTGTAAATTTAGATACAATTATTTTCGGACCTTTGACGATTTTGACAGAAATAATCCAACCACCCCCTGGTCTTCCTTGCTTACCCTGTGAATATTAGGACAGCTCTAGTGAACTTTTAACTAAACTTAATTTTGGTAAGGCTATAGTGTGATGGGTATTGTTTTTTTTTGTTATTATTTGCATTTAAAATCATTAATTGAGTGTTTTATTAAATTTAAAAATCTGATTTTGTCAGAAATGCACCTGAATATGTGTAGATACCCACCCTTAATGTTGCGCAATCGGTTAATTCTAGGCAATTCAAAAGTTTTTACGTTAAAAAATCGGCTAAGCATAATTAGGCTTAGCATTAAAATAAGCGAAAACTAATTATTCAAAAATTAGGCATCGGCTAAGGAGCTCGGTTAATCGCCCGTCATATATCGTTACATAATAAATAATTTTAATAAAGGCTAGGCTTAGTGATGCGTAACGCTGACGAGCGATTTTTTTTTACTAATTGTATTTACGATAATAAGCTATCTCTTGGCCCAGATTCAACCCTGGCATTTTACATTTTACCGAAATAAAGCTCAGGGACCACTTTAGCTTTTAGTTAAGGTAGTGGAGAAATATCGATAGTGTTCATATAAGATTATGAAAACTATGTTGTTCAGACTAAGGGCTAGAATTAGTCTTTCATGAAATTTTTTAAAATAATAAAGTACTGAAAATAAATATATGATGTCCTGGGTTCAATCTTAGCTTCATAGAACCGCATCAGCAGTTAGCTTATGTAAAAAGATATCGGTTAATTTTTATATTAAATTATATTCGATAAAATCACAGATATTTTTAGCAATGAGAAACCAATGACACATTATGTCATTGTGCGAAACAGTCAATATATTTCAAAAAAGTTCAGGCCAGGCCTGAAAATATTTTTTAGAAAATTCGGGCTCAGCCGCGTTTGAAAATGCAAAACCCCGACAGAACCGGTAAAAAAAATTTTTTAAATTGCGGGCTGGGCTTTGTTATTGGTCGGCAGGTCTCTGAAGGTAACATTATTACTTTCTTATACAACCAATAATTAAATATTGTGAAAATAAAGTAATTTTAATCGATATAAACAAAACTACTTGATTGGGCTAAATAATACTTAAACTTAATTCTTAATAAAAAAATTTAATATGAAATTCAAGGGACCATTGCTTTTATTAAAATATATTATTTTTGAAAAATAGAAATCCGTCAATTTGATATCTGTGCCTATTACCTTGTCAAAAATCCGTGAAGTAATAAATTGTCAATCGTGCAATAAATTCTATAATTATGATATTCAAAGTGCTTTTATTAAAATCTTCTGCTTTTTAAAAAATACGCCTTAACCTATCAAAGTCACATTAAGTTGTCACTCGTGTAGTAAATTCTATAATTATGTTTTCAACTTTGAAACAGTATATCCAAATATAAATAAATTATAATTTTGAATATTTTTTGTTTAGGTTGCTAAATTTTTCATACGGATCAATACATATAAGAAAAATATTCGTGTCAGATTTATCCACATATGGATTTTATAATAATATTCAAAAATCAAATATTTTATCTTCAAATTTTGCAGCAAATCTTATTTTTAAAAGATGGAATATTAGAGTTGATAAAAGATACAGGCCCAATATTGTAAAAACAATTAGAAAACATGGTTTTCGGGCACGTTTAGCAACCAAAGGAGGGAGGGATATATTGAGACGAAGAATATTAAAGGGAAGATTTGTTTTAAGCCATTAGTTAATTTTTATATATTGGATTTTTATTCTATTAAACTTTATATTAATGAATATAGAGAGATACAAAAACTTTATATAAAAAAATTGAATGTATACTTGATATTTAATTGTAATATAAATTAAAACATCCAGTACTAGGGTCTAATACACAGGTCAAAAGCTGGGTGATCAGATAGACCTTATGATTCCCTTTTTATTAACCTTATTATGCTTTACATTTATAAAATCAGCTTTTATTTTGTATAGTACAAAATAACTTAAAGATATTTTTTGCATTTTAATACATTTGAAATGGTAGGTATTATGTTTGAAATTTTTTTTAAAATTTTATTATATTCAAAAAATCAAAAATAGTTTTTTTTAATATTATATCTTGACCACTTTTTAAAAAAATACTTCAATTTAAACAATCATGTATATTATAAAAAAAAACTCATTTTAAAAGCACTAGTAGTTGTTATTTTATTATATTTCTCAAAATGGTTATATTTTATTCTTAGAGTTTATATACATTTCTTTTTGTAATCAATTGGCTTTATTATGATTATTTTGCAAGACCAAATTGTATAAAATATTTTTTTAATATGTTGTTTCTTAGACATTAAAAATCAGCAATATTGAAGAGATGTCTTGTTTTCTATATAAAATTTAATACTTTTTATAAATTAGTAATTGAACCTTGAAGATCTCTATTTAAAGGATAGTGAATTTAAAATTATAAAAGGCAATTTTTTGCTTTACCCTTGAAAACAAAAAAAAAATGTCAAGGTTACGTGTCTTGTTATTGTTAAAAAAAAATACTTATCATTATAATTTAAAAAATTAAGCAATTAATGTTTTTAAAAATTATTATTTACCATTTAATCATGTTAAAGAGAGAAATTTTAAATGACTTGCACTAGTGTTCTGTGCATGATAAAGAAAAAATTGTAAAATTTACCACTGTGGGGGCTGGCAAGTGGCAACCATGTCTGTTAAAATATATAAATTAATTTTATATTTTTATAATGTGATTAGTGATTCAACCCCTATTACCAAAATTTTAAAAATGACAATATAATAATCTTATTCACTGGTATTTATTTGCTATAAGTAACAATAATATATATGATATAAATATTAATAATACAATTGTTAATAATGTAAAATAAAATTGCATAGTGTGTTTTCTTGAAAAGGTATGAGATATTTATATAATACACAAATATGCTCCAATTTCAATCAAATAAGTTTATTATATCATTATTATAGGGAAGGTATTGATTTGTATGTTATTCTAACTTGATTAATTTACCTAAGGTGGTAACAAGATTTGTTGGTAAAACAATAGATAAGCATCTGATTTGGGTATTTGTTCAAATTTAACTTTTCGTTTTACAAAAGAATCACTTATATAGCAATATGTATTTGTATTATTATTATCAGTGTCATTTTCATAAGTTTTATCTTGAACGTAACAGTAATAATGCCCACCTTTAAGTGAACCCGAGTGACAAACTACAGCATAAAGTGAATATGTATTTGGTTCATTTGATGTATTTTGATTTTCTAAGCTTTTGATTGTGTTTTTATTTTGAGCTGAGACACAATAAGGTGCTAGATCAAGTAATTGTGGAAAAGATATTTCTATGTTGTTCTTCGTAAAGTATTTCGTTTTTTTCTAATTTAATTTTAAAGAAATTTAATCACGATATTTTTTTATTAATAAAAGGATATTGTTTAAATAATTTTTTTAATAAATTGATAAAAGTATAAAACTTGCATGAATCTTTTTAAATGCAACATCAAAATTCGTGGACTGGGCAACAATATAGCCATATTTTTACAAATAGTTACATCTTGGGCTTTGCAATGTTCACAAAGGGGTAAATTAACTATTTCCGTCTTAACAAACTCATCAAATAGCTTGTAAAGCCCATGTTTATTGTATGTTTTATCTTCATTTTCGTTACATATAGAGATTTCATATAGTTTGACATCCTCGATTTTACTACAATCATTAATTTCTTTATTAATCTCGTACTGTGATTTTTCATATTCAGCATTATCTTTATCAATATTTAAGCACTGGTTCTCAACAGGTTGTCCATTACAAAGTTTACTATCTGCTGACATTTCTTTTTTAATCTCGCACTGTGTTTTCTCATTTTCAGCATTATCTTTATCAGTATTTAAATACTGATTCTCAACAGGTGGTCCATTATAAGCTATACTATCAACTGAGGTTTCTTTAACATTTCGATCAAGAATTTTAAAATTATTGTAATTTATTTCGGATTTTTTTATGACATCACTATCTTGGTTATCATTCTTATGAAGATCTTCATCAGAACTTCCACTATTTTCAACGTTTGATAAAAATTCTTGCTTATTAACATCATTTATTTTAGGATGATCGTTATCTTTAATGTTTAAGGAAGCTAAAACATCGCTAATTTGACTTTCTACATTGACCTGAATGGTATCTTTAATGATAACTATTTTGTCAAGAATATAATATTTTAATTGGAGATAACATAATATGAGTAAAAATATTTCCATTTGACCTAATTTTTAAAAGAATTTCTATTATAAAATGATAGGGTTGGCATGATTTTATTAATTCAAATCTATAATATTTTGAATAAAAATTAAGATTTAAATTAATTTACAGATAAAACTATTCTATTATACTTTATTTTACTATATTTTGCATAAAAGTTTTAATTTATTTTGATTTAATAAACCACCAAAATCATTAAATTTATACAGTGATTATTTAATATTTTTTGTAAAAGGTGTACTTATATTTTATTACTATTAATAAAACAATATTCATTTTATTAAAATCTTATATCATAATTATTTTTAATATATATCCTTTAAAAGTTAATTAATTTAAAGAGATATAAAAAAATCTAATTATCCCACTCTACATTGTTTAATAAGATAAAGTGCTATTTAGTCGATTCAAAATTGCTAATATAACAAGGGTTTATTAAATATATTCACCTGAAAATAGTTATTTAATATAATAAAATAATTGTTTTCAATTCATTATCTCTGGAATTATGTTTAAGCAAATATTTTAATTTAAATCGAAAATATGAATTGATTAAATCCATTTTTTAAATTTTTATACAACCCTATACTAGGTCAAAAAGTCTTTTCTTTACTAATCACTTTCACTAAATGTATGCTATGACTAAGTGTATAAATGTGTGCCTTATCTCTCAATTAATGAAGTTTCAACATTAAAAATATACCTATGAGTCAAATATTTGAAATATTCGTTTTCAATTCAATATTTTCGAGTGGAATAATTGTATTATCAGACGAATTGAATAATTTCATATTCGTATTCATACGAATAATAAAAAATATTATTAAATTTGATTGGCAAATATTCGATTCGAAAGTTAAATTAAATTCTTTAAAAATATTTTCAAAAATGAAAATATGGATTATTAAAATTTCTGGATAAAAAACGTAAAAAATAAAAATTCCGCAAGGAACATGTTAAATATTTAAGAATAATTTCGAATATTTAAATTATTTCGAATATGATAATTCAATCGAATAATAGATAAAGAAAGATTCGACGTATACTTTTATTATTCGATTCGAATCAAACACTGTATTAATAAGCTAAGAAAATTTATAAAAACCAAGTATACCATCATGGCGGTCGCTATTTTCGCCAATCAGATTTTCCTTCAAATTTTCACAGCTCATGATATAAGGTTTTGAATCGGGAGTTATTGATTCTTTATAGGCAATCGACGATTGAGGGGAAAGAAATTTATAAGCATCTAAAAAACATATTTTTTGATATGCATAGTATTATTAAGTTTAAATGTTTTTTCAAAATTACATTTAGAAAAGTCTAAAAAAATTTAATATAAACCTAAATCAAGTCCGTACCTACCCTTTTCAATAATGTTTAATTTTTGACGACTACCTTCAGATTTTAGACCTTAGAAAGTATCATTTTTTGAATGAATAAACCATTCAACGGAAAATATTTCTCACCATAGTTGAATTGTTTTGGAACCACTCAAATTAATAGGTTGCTTTCAAAAATATCCTTTTCCCCTTATTTTTTTAAATTTATAATGGACCCTTCAAAGATGACGATCTCGTTATCTTGACTAGTGTTGTTAAACGGCTCGTTTTGAGCCGATTTTTTAAAACGGCTAACTCAATATTTTAGTCAGAAAAATATTGTTTGCGCCTCGAGATTTCGATAATATATGTCTAGACCTTTGTCCCTTCTATGAGAAAAATTTTCAGGCTTGCATAATATTTTTCTGGGTGAAATATTGAATTAGCCATTTTTAAAAATAGGGCCAAACAAGCCGTTCAACACTAATTTTGAACCTGGTTCGTCTTTTCTTGCTAAAATATGTTTTGCTTATAAAAAAAAATGCTCTATATGTTCATCAAAAAATAATTAGTCATAATATAATCACCATTATTTAAATTGACATCGTCATTCAACATTTTTATTTCTTGTACTTCGGATTCATTAATCAGGAATTTCGTATCTGTGGAAATATCTTCATTTTCACTCTGTATAAAGAAAAATTAATAATTATCGTTACTCGATAAAGAAGTGAACGATCGATTCAATCAATTCTCACCACAAAAGTTTCGGGTGATAAGGCATTTTTTCGAACTCAAAAACCTTTAAGACTCAATCTAAACCTGGATCTAGAAAACAATATTTTAAATGATTATTTTATAAGTCATTATTTCATAAATATTAAAAAAAATATTGCCATTAATGCATTATCAAGAAGGCGATATACTATAAAAAAAACATTACCGCATGGAAGTTTGTATCATGAACTAGGTATAGGCTATAAAAGTCTGATGTGGGCTAGATACTCAACCTGTAACTCCCAAATAAATTAGATTTTTTTAATTTAAAAATTGCCCTCGGTAAATGATTTTAAATTTGAGCCCAAATCATATAAATTCTATATCTCATTACGACATTTATATTTTGATTGAATTTTATATTAAAAAAACCAAGGATATTTTTTTATAAGGCTATAAACCTTATGCTAAAAAAAATGCGCGTGAGATGATAAAATTATATTTGAGGTTAGGATATCGCAAATCTAATAGAAGTGACCGATAATGAAAAAAAAGAAAAGGGCTTTGGGGCCATATTAGTATTTATTTATTTTATATATTTAAAATATTTTCGCTCCTTTTCCCCTCTTGTTGAACTTTGTCGCCATATTCTTGCAGTATTTATTTATTTTATATATTTAAAATATTTTCGCTCCTTTTCCCCTCTTGTTGAACTTTGTCAGAATTTTACATCTCTAATAGGATGAGATATGAAAAATCCCCTGACATTCATATTTTTAAAAAAATGATTAAGGAAAGTCAAAAATAAATTTTTTTTAGGCTGTCCAAAGTAAATTTTATTGATGGTTATAAACCATTTTTTCTAATTATGAAATTTTCAAGTTTAATAAATTTATTAAATAACATTAAGGTTTTTACTCTCGAAAATAAGGAAATCTTATCAAATATACAAAATTTAGTTTGTCCACATAATGTTAAAATAAAATATTTTAATTTTTTACTTTGGACGTTCGATATTTAAAAAATCTGTACACCCTTACTTATTCATTGTTGAAGATATACAAAAAGAATTCATTCGTCAGTCAAAATCAGGGATCCAAACCGTAACGAATATCTGGGAAAAAATATTGGTTCAAGTTTGGTTCGTAAAAAATAACATAGGCTAGGTTTGAACTTATAAAAACAAGTTCGAACGTATACTATTATACAAGATTTGCTATAATTTATAAATAAGTATTGTAAATAATATATTAAAGTAGGTAGGTCATTGAATCTTGAGGAAATTTTATGTGTACGTGATTTTTTAAAATATTTTTATATAAAGATGTTTAAATTAAATTTTAAGGAGATTATAATATCATACAAGAACCATGGTATTACTGAAAGATTTTTAAAATTTTACCTATTTATTTTTTTATTATAAATCATATTCGTAGAATTATCTATCCAAATGACCAATCCATACATATAGTGTGTATGGAGGGATCTATAAGGTAACATTCCACGAGCAGGGGAAAATAAATAATGTCTATATTTTAGACATATTAGACACGTCTAATTTTAATTTTTAAGTGACATAAATTTATATATGACAATTTTTACATTTTCCTTTAAAGTATTTATTTATTGTAATTGTTTAAAATCATTATATCACATTTTTCAAATGACTAAAGTTACAATTTTTGGTTTTCCTTAAAATTATATGACAATTTTTAGTTTTCCTTATTTAAAATTATATTTGAATTTATTTATATTTATAATTGTTTAATATTTCATGTTTATTTCAAATAAATAAAAAAAACAAAAAATTTCCCCAGACTCAATGATTTAGCAAATAAATGTTAGTTGCTTTGATGTATTATTTAGGATAAAATTTAAACAAATATGCAAACCATAAATTTTATCTATAATGAGAATGAATAAATTTTATAGTTCAGAACAGGGACTAATATTTATCATTCAAAATTGTTTAATAACGTCTTTAAAATAACTACAACTAGGATATCAAAAGGTTCAACCCGGTTCATAGGCATTCTTTTAAGTTTATGTTATGGTGTAACGGTCAAGTTTGGTTTGGATCCATGGTCAAAATTAGATTATCTGATAAATGATAAACAATGGTATACCTTTCTGCGGTTTTTTCGCGAGTTATTGCATTTGACTTTCTTGAGTTTTCTCAATTTCTTTAATTGGTGTTTGCTAAGATTAGAGTCGCTAGTATCCAGATTTTGATCAGCTAACAATTTAGTTGAATCTCCTTTAGGACAGGTAACATTTGTTTTTTTCTGAACTTTGTTTTCATTTAAAAATTTCTTATTTCTTGTTTTAACATTATTATCGTGTTTGTCATCGTCCTTAAAAAAATTTTTTTTAATGTAAAATCATTTGAATATGTTTCGTTTAACAATTAAATAATTTGATAGTTATTAATCTATTACAATTTATATTATTGGCCAATAAAATAAAAGTTGCTATATAATACTTAGACATTTGCGTTAGGGGTATGTAATGGGCGGGGTTTTAGCTTTCCCGCCCATACTTCAGAAGGGCGTGGTCAGGATTTCTAAAATATTTTCAATGGGCGGGTGACAGGCTGGCTAAAAAAATTAAGTTGTGGGCGGGTGAATTTTTAATAGGCGAAATGAGCAGAATAGACTTCTAATTATTAAAAATAAATAAAGAGCCAAACCAGACATTAAAATAATTTTTAAACATTAGGCGGGCTGGTTAGACAAACTTTATAGATAAATTGGCGGGCGGGTAAATTTTTTTTAAAAATTGTAAGTGTGTGAACGGGTTAAAAAAATTTAAAACAACGAGTAGGTGGAATTTTTGGCTAAAACCTCACCATTGCAGACCTTTAATGTGCGCTATCATATCTTTTTGACTGCGCCATCTCCACTGAAAAAGCTGGTGCAAGATATTTTTATTTATTATTGGGAATTTGTATTTCCTATCCGGATATGGTTCGTTTGTATTATTATTTAATTCTGCATGTAAAATTCCAAGAAATATTGATGGGGATATCGGGAATTTTTGGAAACTTTATAAAATGTCCCAAATTGAATAAAAATTTGTCAATTTTTTTCAACCTAAAATCATGCATGATCCTAATGAATTAGATATGTATGCCAAATAAAGTAAAAACCAAAAAAGAAGTCTTAAACTGCAATATATTAATTTTTGATGCTTAATACTTGAATTTATAATGATCGAAATATATACATATGAAATTAATTAATCGGATAATGAGGAGTTTGAGGCATGCTTTTCTTCTACAATGATACCACTATCTGCTGATGATATTTCATTTTATAAAATTTCAGGAGTTAATGTAGTATTAATAATTTTATGTTGTAAAAATGAATTTTATGGAAATTAACTTTTCAATGCATTTATTTGTAAGACTATTACGATTTATAGAATGGGTTCTTCCAAAAAAAAACCAAAAGGCAGCATATGTCGGAGGAATAGATAAAAGTTTTATAGCTATCATATTTATAGGTTGTGGTAGACAAATTCCTTTTCATCATATCAGAGGTTGAACATGCTTTGCACTATCCCATATTCCCACGTTTTCCCCAAAACCACTCTTAGATCGATATTCTGCGAGATATTCTAAAACAACTCCGATATCAAGATTGAATTCTGCAATTAGGACAGTCATGCCAGGTGATATCTCAGCATTGAGTTCAAAATCATTGAAACGAGGATCAAATATATTTGCCGCGAAATAAACATTCTGACAACAAAACTCTTTCCTTTTTTGTGACTTTCTATAATGTATTTCTGATCATTTTCGCCATGAAAATTCATATTTGTTTTCAATGATGTTGGAATAATGGAAAATGAATTCGGTACTTCTGATATACTAGATTTCTCGATTTCTAATTTATAAATCTGGGTGTAAATAGGAAATAAAATGTTACAAATATTTTTGAGGGCTACCCAGAGATCATCATCTAGATTTTGTACTTTCTCTTTCAATTTTTAGAAGTTAATTAAATATTCCTGGGAATCTTAATGGAATTGAATTTCGTCCGAAAATATGCCCAAAATTTAATTATATATATATATATTAATTCTAAATATAATTTTATATATATATTTTAAAATTTAAATTCGTCTAATTCTAAATTTTTTATCTTATATATAGCCTAAATTTTCCCTGGGAATCTCTAATATTTATTTAGTAAAATTGAATAAAATAAGTAATAAATCTAAATTGTAATTTTTCTCTTAGATTTATTCTATTTGTAATGAAATTTCTTTAAAAAATCAAACTTTTAAGAATTAAAACGAACCAAAAACCCAATAAATTTTGAACAAACCCACATATATTTTTCTGAAATAACCCGGTGTAGCGTGATACATTAACTCCCCTTATCACATACCTCTGAATCAAGATATTACTATGATAGATTATCTCCCCCTTTGATAAATAGAGTTAAGAAAATTTGATTTTCGAAATTAAATTTTGAATAGAATTTTATTTTATTAATCTAGTTTGTATAAGGTTGGTATCCGAAAAAGGTTGAAAATAAAACTTAGATGCTATATTAAATATCAGAAATTATAATATTATGTGTCTCATAAATTTCAATATTAAAATTTTAATTATCTGTCGTCACTAATAAGCGTCAATATAGCTAAACATATAAACTTTAAGCATCACCTGTCAGTCATAAGTGTCAATATAGCTAAACATAAAAACTTTAAGCATCACCTGTTAGTCATAAGTGTCAATACTGCTATATATAAACTTTCAATTTTACATATTTATTAATGTCAGTATAACTAAATAATAGAAACTTTTAACATTATTTGTCATTCATTAATGTCAATATTACTAAATATTAGAAACTTTTAACAATACATGTCATTCATTAATATTAGTATTACTAAATAATAACTTTTAACATCATACGTCAGTATATATGTCAGTATTACTAAATTTTATAATGATATTTTATTAAAATATAATATAACGATAATCATAAATGTCAGTATGATTAAAGGGAGTTAATTTAAATTTTAGTTAAAATATCGCGTTACACCGGAACTGAATTATTATTCTTAATGGTCCGAAACCCTGGTTAGGAGAGGTGCTAAAATACATAGATACATAAATCTTAAAAATGAGCATACGGGATTGAAATGTTTTAAGAACGAAAAATAGGCAGGGTCGGTTTATATTTATTAAAAAATTAATTCTTTATTTTACAATAAGTTTAAGTATAAATATATTATTATGAGATGACCAAAAAAACCAATTACTAAAATCAAACGTCAGGCGGTCGGGCGATACTAATATTTTTAATCAAATGAGCAAGGGTCCTGATCAAGGTTGCCATGTCTCCCCCCATCAGCGGGAGACTCCCGCATTTTTTTATTTTACACGCAGACATCTCCCCCGCAAAACTACTACAAATGGAAATCTCCCGCAAAAATCTACGGCAATTTTTTAATTTCTCCCGCAATTTTTTTAAAAAGTATTTTATTGTTTTTAATATATAAATAATAATTTTGAGAGATAGTAATTAATTATTTTTATATTTTTAAAATAAATTTTAAATATTTCGAAAAACATATATAATTTGTAAATTTCTTTTTATCCTGTTTTATTTTTATACAATAATAAATCATCATCATTTCATTCATATAAGTCAGTACAGGGAAGTATATCGTATATCAACATCGATTGCAATACAAAAATATTCTCCAAAAATAATAAATAATACAGATGCAACTACAGCTGCGGAAATCGTATAAACCTATCATGTAGTTCGACATTCACAGAGCTATATCATCACAATGTTGGTCGAATCTTTTTCCCATGATATTTAATGACTCCAATATAAGTGCAAACCTTACTTGGTTTTATTACCTGAATCCTAGAGGTCAATTCTAGACTATTTGAAAGATGGGCATCCATATGCAATTCTAACAGATGCAACTAATAAGGGAGATATTAAAACATTTCCCTCGATTCTTCGCTATTTCAACAAGAATAAGAACATTTCAATAAAACTGTTAAATCCAACGATGTAGCTAGCCACATAATGGTAAATATAGCTGATTCAGGGTTATCAATGATTTGCATGTCAGCTTTCCGCGCTGATAATGCCTCTGTAAATTTTAGCAAAAACCAAAGTTACCGAATTGAGGCAGCATAATAATGAATTAATACCAATTGGCTGTATATGCCATATACTACATAATTCTTGCAAGAAGGCAATAAATGTACTATCTGTGGATGTCGAAATAATTGTGATGAAATGTTTTAACGAATTTAGTCATCAACTAAAAAAGTTAATGAATTAAAAGAGTTTTTAAAATTTTACAAACCCTTAAAAAAATACTTCTTAAATAAAGATTTTAAAAGCTGTCCTAAAATATTGAAAAATTTTTTCGAGTGTGAAATGGCAGAAGCATAATTGGGATTCGTTTCACATGTAGGAAATCTACTTCATGCAGTTAATATTCAGTTGCAATCAGAATATTCTTTATTAAAAAATATTCAGAAAATCATACTACAGCTCTGTTCATCTCTGCAGTTAAAAATTGATAATAAATTTTATGGCGCTATTGCTAAAAATATTATATTAAAATGTTTAAATAATACTCTAATTAATACCTTTAAATGAAGCAGATATTTTTATTAAGACAATTTTAGAATTTACAAATGTATAAATATTATGACCTTGGAACAGATACCATCAATTGATGGTTTTTGTAATATAATAAATATATTAAAAATACCGAAAGACATTGATATCTTGTTTGAGGAGATTGTAATTCTCTCTATATTTACGATTCGCCAGAATACTTAAAGTTAAATGATCTAAAAGCAGAGGAGAAATGGGTAGAATTTTTTCGTAATAACAATAAATCCCCATGTTTGGAAAAAATATGCCAGTATGTTTTCTCCTTATCTCATTCTAATGCCTTATCGGAGCGCATTTTTAGCCTGATGAGGACTACCTGGAGAGAAATCATATTGTTTTAACAACATTAGAGGCCGAGCTAATGGTTAAACAAATTTATAATATGTCATGCCAGGAATTTTATAAATATCTCAATAACGACGGCACATTTAGTTCCATTATTTAAATCTCAAATAAAATATAATTAACATTATAACTATTTAATTTTCCATATTTTTTTTATATTTTATAAAATCTTATTTATACATTCGCATAAAATAATATATTTTTTACATTGTAAATCAAAAATAGAGAGCATTACAATCTCCTCAAATAAGACATCAATGTCTATCGGTATTTTTAAAATAATAGAAGATTTTAATATAGTTTTAGCAATGGCGCCATAAAATTAATTGTCAATTTTTAAC